TCAAGTCCTTATATAAGATATGGTCTCCCACTAGGTTTGCTAGCTACAGCAGGAGCAGTTATGATGTTGAAAAGAAATAAAGCAAATGTTGTAAATAATACTGAAGTAGCTGAAGTTAAACAAACTCCAACATCTTCGCCAAAACCAACGTCAAAACCAACGCCTTCACAAGCAAAACCTTCAATGACTCCTGAACCTATGGAAGTACAAACTCCTGTTCAAAAGTCAACTCCTAAACCGACTCCAACATTTAAACCAGAACCTACTCCTCAAATAAATCGTAAAACTCCTGCGTTTCCTTATTGAAAAAATAACGTTATTTTTATTTAATATTAAAATTTTTATTTGATTGAAATGACGACTAAAGTCACTGAAGCAATGAAACAAAAGTTTTTGGTAGAATACATTAAATCAGGAACTATTCCAGAAGGTTTTTACATTCATACTATGAAGGATGGTAGAGTTCAGTTTAGAAAGATAAAGCAACCATTAGATAAAGAAGGTATATTAAGGAAGATTAAACTTCATGAGGACAACATTGCTGAACTTAAGAAGAAATTAGAAGAGTTGGAGAAAGGAAGAGAGTTATAAAGCAATGAATTCAACAAGGTAGAAAAGAGGTTAGAAATCGGGTTAGATATACTCATCTACCCTAAATTTATTTTTGTGCTATGTTTTCATACGTATGAGGGTGGTGATATCATTAATTTTTAAGTTTATTTTTTATTTTATTTTTAAATAAATGACGAAAACTATTGAGATAACAAACTACAACGGTCATGAGTTCAAGAATTTGTTCTTCGTTCCTCGTGAAAATACATTCTATCAGATACGAGGGAGAAAGGGTAAAGTTAGTTTGAGCGTTTATGAAGGAATGAAGAATGGAAAGTTTATACAAGCATACGATACAAACGGTAAACGTGTTTCATTAGCTTTGTCAAAACTTACTAACATTTATTTTGACAGTGACTTTGACTCTGACGATTGGAGCGACAGCAGCGATACTGAAGAATATGAAGTATTGTGTGAAGCACAGCAATGGGAGGAGTTGCAATACTTTTGTAAGTGAGAACGTTTATTTTTTACAGTAGTGAAGTCGTTTGTGAAAACGTTAGTGAAGTGAAGTGGTTGGCGGTTTTATAAATATTTAAGGTTAAGTTGGTGGTGTTGTTTGTGTTGTAAAATATACGTTAACGGTTTTGTAAAGTGTCAAATTCACATATCAAGTGTAAGGAGGCGCGCAGTGCCACAGTACACTTGATATGTATATTAATTTCCGGGTCTAACAATAACAGATATTATTACACTATTTAACACGTATATTAATAGTGATAATGATATCTTCTCTGATGATATGATTCAAGAACGTCAAGAATACGGTTGGGAAGAAATCTCTCATAGAGATGGCAATGTATCAATCTTTGCAGATATCGCCCTTCGTGTTATCTCCGCTTCACCTTCAGAAGCAATATGTGAGAGAACAATAAAAGACCAAAGATTGATACTAAATTTGAAAAGATTACGTTCTCACAAAATTTTATTAGATAGCCGAGAAATTTTAATGGCTACAAAATAAATATCTATATTTATTATTAAAAATTATTTTATATTTTATCTGTTCAATATTTATCTCATATAAAAATTTGAAATACTTAATCAAAATTTCTATGTGTTTGTTTGAAAGAGATCGATAGCAATTCATATATCTTTTGAATTTGCTAATTGTGGTGATGGTACTATTATTATTAATTTTTTATTTTTATTTTTATTTTTTTTTGATAATATACTATTTAGATTTATACATTCATTCAATATTATGAAATAAATATTTCTAAATTGATCTGATTAATTTTTCATTAAAGTTTATATTATCACCAAATAAATTTTCGAACCCTTAGAGTCATAGTTCAATGGTAAAAGTCATAGTATAATCGTAAAGTCCATTGGTTCGAATCAAGGGGATTTTCACACTTTTTTCTTTTTTAAAATTTCAGAGGTTTATTTTTAAGGTTCTCGCTGGCGACCCCCCGTTCGTCGAAAAAAAAATTGATTTTTGCTGGCGACCCCCAATCACCAATTTTTTTTTCGACGAACGTGGGGGTCGCCAGCGAGAACCTTAAAAAAACAGAATCCCAAAAAGGTGACATTTTGGGTGTATCGTCTATCCCAGGGATAGAAAAATGACTTCACCTTGGATCTATAATACACATGTTCATGTAAAATCTTTTTTCCAAAATCCTCAGGAATTAAGGGATTTTTGAATTTTAAGAATTTTTTTCGAATTTTTTCGAAAAAAAAAATATTTTCAGAACAGCCTTAACGGCTAAGATTTAGGAACAATGTTAAGTATCAAAAAGAAAGGAGGTCTGATATAGACAACATATATCGTTGAAGGTTGAAAAAATCTCTAATATTTGAGCCCAAAATTTCAAATTTTAATTTTTTGAAAAAAGAGGCCACCCGTATGTACGTTTATTTGAGAGGAGGAGGATTATATTTTTGAAAGGGTGAAACATTATGAATATGTTAATTATATAATAATATGTATTATTATAAAAAAGAAAAATAAAGCACGTTAAAATTTTTCTTTCTTGATTTTTTACAAAATCTACTTAGAATTATGCAAAATATGACTAAATAATTATAAATTTCAAGTTAAATTTTAATTTTGATAAATAATTTAAATTTCAAAATATCAAGTTCAGTTCGACTAGAGAAAGGGACAGACTAGCCCATTGTCACTTTTTAATTTAGCAAATGAACGCTTATGGAGTGGAGTTTTTGGGTAAATCTGATTTGCTTATAAATGAAATAAAATCAAAAGAAACCATATTGGCATTATATTATGCAAAAATAAATGATCTTACTTAGTACTTTTAAAGTTAATTTCAGAAAAAATTTGACACAATGGTATCCGGCACATACAAGTGGTGTACAACCATATCTTCGACTCGATGAACTTGTCATCGAGTTATATTCCAGTGTTGTTCCTTCATTCCTGATTAAGTTGCAAATTAAAGGTCTGGATTCAGAGAGAAGTGTTAAAGTTATCAAAAAAGTCACAAGAGATTTCGAAGAAATGACACAATTTAAAAAAGTCGAATGCATCAGTATGCTTGAAGCTGTTCAGAAAGGTCTGAAAAATGATACACTTGATCCCAACATTGTTTACTCAACATTAAAAATATTATTGCAAAGAAAACATTTGATTTAATAAACATTTAATTTATTATAATTAATTTTTTATTACAGTATAGTAAAAAATGCTATAAATAAATTATTATATTTTATTAAAATGTGACTTTTAATAGTAAGTGAATAAAATAAATCAGGAATTGGGAAAGAAATAAGGTTAATTAAAAATAATGAAAATTACAAGTTTAAGGTTAATGAAAAGTGACAATGGGCGAGTTTGTCCCCCACTCAGTTCGACTATGTAGATAGTAATTCCTCAATAAAGTGCTAAAACCCTATTAAAATATATGAACATTTTCAACATTTTAATGTTTTTATTTAAAAATTTGATGGAATATGAGCTTCAAACAATTATTATGTAAATAAAAATAATTAAATATATGTATTTATTCGTATTACAACCGTAGTAAGTCGATTCTTCCTTTCTTCTACTGAGTTTTGAATTTGATTTCGAATTGTAAAGAGATTCAAAGGGAAAATACTAGCGGATAAAAACTACCTCCATGAAAGGGTCATAATGGAGTCAAGTTGTATTTTTTGATATTTTTTGCTTTTCGAGCCTAAATAGGTAGCCAAGATAATGCCTAAAAATAAGGTTCTAAATTCTGAAGTTTACATGATCCTCTCGTGTGCACCCTTAAGGTTTACATAAGTTTAACAAAATTTACAAAGTTATAGCAATGAATACGTATAAATACTTAAAATCAAAAAATTGATAAAAATTATTTTTACAAGAGGGAGTACAAGGTTTTTTTGCTAAGCAAAACTGACTGAATCCAGGGAAATCGTATTTGAATGGATATTTGGTTCCAAAATTAAAGGAAATTTCATCCCAAACTTCTTGTTTAACAGATTTAAGCTCTCGAATAAATGGCATTACATAGCTACCTATTGTAAAATTAAGTTTTACGGTTTCATAAATTTGTTTAGAAACAACAACCATTGTTTGCTTTTCGATGTCTAATCCGATTCCTACAGTATCATTATGAGTAAATGTGTTATTCAATGATCCATATCCATAATCATCCAATTCAACCGATCCTTTTGTTAAAAAATTAGATGTATCATAAATATATAAAATATTTCTTTTTGGAGCTAATGCAATCTGATTCCCATTTATACTAAAACCGAATGCAAAAGCATTTGACCCTTGATATGATGTGAATTCATAAGATGGATTCCCTTTATATATTTTATTGAAATAAAAGCCAATACGACTATTGGCTGTTAAATTAACTCTTTCATTCTGATCAACAACAGTGTCTAAATATGTAACTGTATCATTACAATAAGGCAATTGTTAGATTTTGTCACTTTTATAAGATTTTAAACAAAAAATTAAAATGGTTTGGGGAAATAAAAAATATTTGTAAGTTATAGGGCAAAGATTAATATTTGCATCGATCGAAAAGTGACAAAATATTTTTTTGTGTTTCAAGTATTTACAACCATATGAGGAGTATATTAAAACGTATGAACGATTATTCCATATCAAATCGCATGAATTCTTTTATGAATGCATGAATATGATTACAAATGTTTTGATTTCAAAGTATCAAATTCGAATAGAAGAACTTATCATGAGTTTCTTGGTTTCAATCAAATACAACTATAGACATATTGATATATATGTCGAAATCATAAATCAAATCCTTTCTAAGTACTCAATAACAGATATAAAATCACAAAACATATTAAATTATTCAAATTCATTGGAATTAAAATTCTTTGTTAATAACAATATTTATGAACTCACATATTACAATTTTATATATCCAAGAGAAGAAGATGTCAGACATTTCATTATGAATGACAAAATTGATCAATTTAAAGAATATATCTCACAACATTCATTCGAATATATTCCCTTTAAAGTTTTAGGTTTTCCAATACTCTCACCTCTTGAAGCATGCTGTTATTTTGGTTCTGTCAACATTTTCAATTTTATTATTTCTAATTACAAGCAGAAAATCACTCAAGAATGTCTTAAATACTCTTTAATTGGAGGAAACACAGATATTATCAATGAAAGTTTAAAAAATAACACAATTGACAAAGAATGCTTTGTATGTATTGCTGCATCACATAACAATCAATTCCTTGATTATATTTTCGAAAGAAATTTATTTAATCTTGACATTTCAGATTTTGCTGAAATTATTTTTTCACAAAACATAAAAGTTGCATTTCTTATGTTTGAGAAAAATAAAGATTCAATCTTACCATGGTGTGCTGCGTTTCCACAAACACTTGAAATTTTCAAAAATGAAGATTTAGATTTTACTAAAAAATCAATTCGAAATGAAACCATTTTAATTGTTGCAATGATTTACAATAATACAGAAATATGCAAATTCTTAATAGATTCTCTAAAAGACAAAGCATTAGATATAAATGCTCAAGACAATGATAAATTTTCTGCACTTTGTTATGCAGTGAAAAACAATAATAAAGAAATTGCTGAACTTCTTATTTCGCACGGTGCTAAAGTTGATGCAGCAGATGATTATGGGGAAGTGCCACTTAATATTGCAGTGCAAAATAATAATCAAGATTTGATAGAACTCCTTATTTCAAATAAAGCAGATTTGAATGCATGTAATAAAAATAAAATAACTGCTCTTCATGTTGCTGTTGAAAACAATAACATTGAAATTATGAACTTACTTTTCTCGCATGGCGCCAATGTTGATCCAAAAGACGAAAATGGTAAAACACCTCTTCATATTGCGGCTGACAAGAATTTTAAAGAAGCAGCCGAAATTCTCATTTCCCACGGAGCAGCTATTAATATAAGATTTCTTGGCGGAGAAACGCCACTACATGTAGCTGCAAGAAAGAACAGTAAAGAAACGGCAGAAGTTCTTCTTATTCATGGTGCAAAGATTAATAAACAAATTCATGGTCAATATGATCCTCTTTACCAAGCAATTTCCAATAACTGCTATGAAACAGCAGAACTTCTCATTTCACATGGTGCAAACATTAATTCGAAAAACAACATTTCAGGAAAAACTCGTTTACAATATGAATTAGATCTGAATAATTTTGAATCCATTGAATTTCTTCTTTCACATGGTGTAGATATAAATGCTAGAGAACATTTTAATAGAGATACAGCTCTTCATATTGCAGTAAGAAAAAATTCTGAAAAAGCAATAGAACTTCTATTATCACATGGTGCAAAAATTGATTTATAAAAATAATGGTGGAAATACAGCTCTTCATGTTGCTGTTGAATATGATTTGCCTGCAATTGCATCTTTTTTAATTTTACATGGTGCAGATATCAACTCGAAAAATAATAAAAGATACACTCCCCTACATATTGCCATAAGAGATATTAGACTAGATCTTGCGGAGTTACTTATTTCAGAAAATGCAAATGTAAATGAAATAGATAATAAAAATTGTGTTCCACTTCATTATGCGTCATCAAATTTTGATGCAAAATTTGTTGAGTTGCTTCTTTCACATGGAGCTGATATCAATGCAAGAGATAATAACCGAAAAACTGCACTTCATTATGCCATTGAATATTATCATGCAGAAACAGCAAAACTTCTTATCAACCATGGTATTAAAATCAATGCAAAAGACATTGAAAGAAAAACTGCACTTCATTACATATCAGATATGATGGATGACACTCTGGATTTGGTAAGCTTTATCATTGCGCATGGTGGCGATATAAATGCTCAAGATAAAAGTGGAAGTACTCCACTTCATTATGCTGTTAAAAATGAAATGAAAGTTGTAGAATATCTTGTTGAGCATGGTGCAGATGTGGATATTAAAAGAAATGATGGATGCACTCCTCTGCATATTGCTGTAAAGAAAAGAAAATTCACTATTTATAAATATCTTCTTTTGCATGGTGCTCATGTCAATAAAAAGGACCAGAAAGATAAAACTCCTCTATTTTATGCCGCAAAACATTTTAATAGCGACTTGCTTGGTCTTCTTATAGCTCATGGTGCAGACAAAAATAAAAAGGATTGTAACGGTCATACATATTTAGATTACATGTTTGGATATAATATTTCATCTGATGATGATCATGAATCTGATGACTCACTGAATAGTTATGATTCGGACATATAAATTTTATGTTCAAAATTATTTATCAAAAAGAGTAATGTTTATTTAAATTCACAAAATGATGTTTTATAAATATTTTTATCAATAAGTTCAACGCCTTCGATTCCTAAATCTTGGATTCCTAAATGAGATGATTCCTTCAGTATTTGAATGTTTTTTAGAATCAATATTTTTATAAGGACAATAATAATGAGATATAAATGAATCCAATGGTTCAATTGAATCAAATGTAATTGAAGGATCATCATTTACAGATCCATTGACATCATTATTATTAAAGTAACAATTATCGATATTTGGTTTATGCCAAAATAAATAGTTTCCTTTATTTCCTATGAATGAACAACTTGAATATATTTTTGAACCATAACAATTAATTATTCCTTTAAAAAATTACATTTTATAATGTTAAAATTACCAGTATTTCCTATTCCACCATAAAAACCTGTAGATGATGTATTCGATGCTGTTGTGAAATTAATAATTCCAGTTTCTTTTGGAGAATGAATTAAGTAACCAGCATATGCAGGAAATTCATGATAAGATGAATTTATATTACTTACTTTGATATCTCCTCTCAAATGATAAAGAGAAGCAATGTTTCCTCTACATTGCGAAACTGAGCATTCAAATGCGTAGTTTTTGTTGTTACTATTAACAACTGTTTCAATGTAATATGCACCACCCCATTCACTAGTTACTGAATTATAACAACAAATTTGAACTAAAACAGATTCAGATTCCTTGATGTAGAATGACCCACCACTTTTTGTGGAGCCGTTATTGTAAAATGTGCATGTTTCGAGTAATACTTTGCTGCTGGAATTAAGGTAAATTGCTGTTTTTTGATAATGGAAAGAAAACACTGCATCATGAATGTAATAGTTACCATTTCCCGATATAGTTTCGTTCTCTGTTTTATTGATAGACTCAACTGTATAATAATCAGAAAAACTTTGTTGTATTCCATTAATAATTTGCAAATCTATAATACATGACATTCACCTTAAACTCCAACAAATTTAAACTACCATGAACTACAATATTTGTGGAATTAATTAAAACAAAATATTATAAGAATGAAATGGGAAAACAAGTCTCAATTTTGAGGAGTAGATGGCCACAAAATATAATCAAAACTCTTTGAAATATTGAAGGACTTTGAAATTTAAGTTCACAAAGTTCACTCTTAAATTTGCTTTTGAATACTTTTATCGAGAACATAATTTGAAGAGAAGCATCCTAAACTTTTAAATCCGATAATTAGTACAAAATTCGTATGATGTCACTTTTTGTAATAATCAAATATCGAATTAATATGATCTCTTCGATGAGGAAATTACAGTTCACGTATTATAAACTTTCTTACCCCAATAAATCAGCCCCAAACATACTTAATTCTAGGTATGACAATGTACTCTTTTCTATGATAACCAAATCAATTTGGTTATCATCATAAAGTCCCTAAAACAAGAATAAAAATCGATAGAAATGGAATCATAAATCAACTCTAACAAAATGAAATTGGAATACTCATACATATATCCCCTTTTATTGCATATTTTAAATTCAAACAAATTTCTCGTATTATTCTCAAAAATATTTGCACATCGTTATTATTTCTCTTAGACAAAAGGTGATTTTTCATGTTAATTTTATCGAAAAAATTTAACTTGCAAAATAATCCACTCATTTCCTCTAAACTTAGACTTAAAACGTTAATAATAAGCATGCTTTAATATAAAAGTTAATTTTGTACTACTTTAAATACATCTTTATCTTTTAATTAGAAAAAATTTATCAATTTTATTATCCAGATGAAAAAAAGAAACGACTTATGATATTTCATCTAATCTAAAATCTTTTATTGATTGTTTAAAACTTAGCACTTTGTAAATGTATTTTTTGTTCAAATCTGCTAAATAACTATGAAATTCCAGCTATTTTTCAATACCAATGATTTTTAAGCATTCACTAACTGTGAAAGTGTATGGTAAATGTTTAATATTGAACACATATATTCAGATCATCATGATTCATTAATATCCATGAAGGAAAAGTGATAATATATGAATTGTAATTATGTTGCTGTGAAGACAAACGTCTCATAAATTGTTTATACAGAGTTCTTTCCTTATGATTCAATATTCTTTTCTATTTTTGTAAATTATTAGGGAATTTCCTAAATCTATTTTGTATAATACATTTATCCATGACATACTGGGCACAAAAGTGATAAAATCCATATAATAATGGAGCTGCAAAAAAGAGCTTCAATCATTCAATAATTTACATCCATCGTGCCATGTATAATTTTCCTTATGAAGCGACTTTCCTTTTTCAGATCTAATTTGAGTAAAAATCTCCGAAAGAACTCGCTATTTTTGCGCGTAAAGGAAAAGTCAGAGTTATTTAATAGCATTTTGCTACTTTAAAGTTATATCTATATACACACAAAATGATGTTTTATAAATGTTTTCAGTAATATGTTCAACGTCTTATATGTCTAGCTCTTGAATTCTTAAATGATCTGATTCCTTCTGTATTCGATTGTTTTTGAGGATTTTTTGCAGCAATACAATAATATGTTGAATAATGAGATATAAATGAATCTAATGAATCAATTGAAATAAATGTATTTGTATTATCACTTTTTGTAGTTTGACTGACATCATTATTATTAAAGTAACAATTATCAATAGTTGGTTTATATGAAAATAAATATTTTCCTTTATTTCCTATGAATGAACAACTTGAATATGTAGTTGAAATAGAACAATCAATTATTGCACCATCTCCTGTATATTCATTGTTTAAATAATTACATTTTGTAATATTAAATTTACCAGAATTTCTAATTCCGCTTAGTTCTGAAGAAGATGTATTTGATGCTGTTGTGAAATTAATAATTCCTGTTCCTGTTAGTTGTTGAATTGAATATGCAGCATTTTGAGTAATTTCATGATAAGATGTATTTATGTTACTTACTTTGATATCTCCTCTCAAATGATAAAGAGAAGCACTGATTCCACTGCATTGTGAAACTGAACATCCATATGAAAAACTTATGCCGTTACCATTTTGAGCTGAATTAATGCAATATCCACATCCAGAATAACCCCTTGAATTAACTGATGAGAGTAATATACAAATATGAACTAAAACACAGTCAGAGTTTAAGATATAGAATGATCCGCTATTTTTTATGGAGCTATTATTGTAAAATGTGCATGTTTCTAGTAATACTTTGCTGTTGGGATCAAGATAAATTGCTGTTTTTTGATAATGGAAAGAAAATATTGCATCATGAATGTAATAATTGCAATTACTTTCTGATATAGTTTCGTTCTCACTTTTATCTTTAGACTCAATTGTGTTGTAATATTCTGAAAAACTCTGTTGTATCCCCATTATCATTTGATAAAGGCAAGTTCTTGAATTTCCGAAATTCAAAACAACCGTTTGATTACAGAAATTTTTAACCATTAAAGTCATTTCAAGAGCCTTGTACCGATAAACTAGCCTTGTACTGTTCCATATTAAGTTCTGTCAAAATGTAAGCTATTCAATTCTATCGTCGGGGAAAGTATCACAAATCTATCAATTTTTTTGTAAAAGTATACAAAAACATATGGTGTTCAATTAGTTTATAATAATATAAATATTAAGATTATCCAAAATAAGAAAAACTAGGTTTGAGAACACTTTTGAGATGATAATCAAAATATTTTGATTGAAAAATAATATATTATTTATCAGATATAGAATGGATTTTTTCAAATTTAAAAATTCTGAAAAATAAACAGTTTTGTAAAGTAAAAAAAATGAACGAAAACTCGAGACCTCGTATTCCAAATGAATGGGTAAGATATATGTATGGCATTCCAAACGGGAACCGCGGTTGGTTACCATGGATTTCCGTCACCGGTCACATTTTAAAGATTTTTTAAGCCTTATAAAAATATGCTTTGTAAATCATTTTTTGTAAATCGGCAAAAATTTGGTAATTTTCTTCAACTAATAAATCTGCGAATAGCATTTATAATACAAGAACAATCTTTTAAAATGCGTTTGATTCATTTTTGTATAATTTCATATAGGCACATATATTCTTCCGGGACTTTCCGTGATTTTACCGTAAAATCATTAGTTTACACCAATTTTTCCGTATTTTGAATAGTTTACTGCACTTTTTCCGTAAAATTGAGTTACGGGAATCCGCAAAATTTCCGGACCTCATTTTTCATAGAATATAATAATAATATTTGATAAAAAGATATATTATTTATATTTTTGATTTTTGAATTACGGAAAAAGTGAATTGATAACTTGATTTTTTTATATGGTTAATTTTTCAAATGATATTATGAAGATCTAAAATATTAAAAGTAAAAAATTGAATTACGGAAAAAGTGAGGTCAAAAGTGAAATAAATTTGCAGAACAATTCTCATTGAAATAAGCTTTATTTTTCATTATTAATAACAATGCAAAAAAATATTTATCACGGGTTCAAAATTTAAAATTAATTATTTTAATAATTTACATCTTATTCTTTATTTTATATTTAACCCGTGAAAATATCATTTAAAAATTGAATATATTCAAAAAGCTTTATTTTTATTATGACTGCATGGGATCCTCATGTATATGATGAGTGGATTCCATTTAAGAAGACGAAATATCCACCAACTCCTGAAACATTGGAAACAAAGTGTGGAAAAAAATTTTCACTACGATCGGCTATTATGAGAATGAGCCTAATCAATCAGACAAAGGAAGGCTCTTTACATACTGTGCCGAATGTAGTGAAACATTAGTTCAAGGGCAGTTCGTGCGATGCATTAAAAAAAGCAGGAAAAATGATTTTAAAGATCATAAGTGCAAATTTTTACTCCCAATGCCCAACTACGTTCCTGCTGAGCACCAAGTTGAGAATACTCAGCAAGCAGTTGGCTCTGGTAATGATCCTTCGTTAGAAGAGATCATTGCCAGGCTTATTGCGAGCCTAGATATAAGCCTTTATGCCACAATGAAGCCAGCATTTAAAAGCTTCCTAGAGAGCTTCGCCAAATGGCTTAAAAATAAAGTCAATCGCGAACAGGGCATCAACTTTACAATCCCAGACATTGAGTTCACACGGCGCGGTGTCAGAGAGGCATTGATTACTTTAGGCAAAACAGACTCCTCTCGGGGCCTAAAGTTCTGCGAGGAATTCCGCATCTTCTCAATTTCCCTGGACTGCGGAACACACGGCAGCCGTCATGGTCTATTCTCTTGTGTGTGCAATCCAGGCAAAACAGATCGCCACCAATTCTTCGACACAACAATTTCGACTAATTGGACATACGAGGACTACCATACGTGGTTTGATTCTCTTAAGGTTAATAAAAACCACGTAGCTGGAGTAGTCGGAGATGGTTTGCCAGCCCAGGTTAAAGGACTCTGCCACTGGAGGCCAGAAGGAGCCCTTTTCCCTGGCTTACAAACCGTGTACATTCGTTGCCTTAACCACGTCTTGAACAATGCTATTGTCCACGCACGTAAGCAATGTCCATTGTTGAATGAACTGATGAATAGAGTTCACCAGATTATCATTATCTTTAAGAATCACGATATGAGAGCGAGATACAAGATCAGGGTTCCATCAATCCCGGAAACTCGCTGGCTCTACATATATGATACTCTGTTTTTCATCTTTGATAATCTGGAAACAATTAATACTGCTTTAAGAAGTGGAGATCTTCCACTATCCCTTTCCAGAGCTACACGTGAACAGTTACAATGGACACGTGATGGAATTCCTCCACTCTTTAAAGATGCTTTAATGATATTCAAGCCATTAAAGCAACTTCAATTATGGCTGGAATCCAACAAGTCCATGGGTGCTTATGCATTCCTGATGATACAACAGTGCCAAGGGATGTTGGATGAAATGGCAGGAAGATTAACGCCAGATGGTGAAGAGATTCTCCGATCAATCACTACAATATTCAAAAATGATATGAAAGAATATGGTAGAATTGATTTGCTTCGGTTTGCTTTCGGCTTTACACCGTTAGCAAGGAAGATCATCAGAGACAAGAAGGGTTTTGGAGGAAAGACAAGCTATCCACCTATAATGCAGTTGAAAGATGTGCAAGTCCCAACGATTCCTTCCCTGAGGATCATCAATCGCGAGATCACATTTGAGAAACTCGGCGAAATCCTTGAAGAAGAACGAACAGAACGTGTTGACGAGGTAGCCGAGCATGATGAAGAGATCCAGCAAGCAGAAGAGGAACAAATGCTTAACGACGATCATGCAGCCGAAACAAATGCCGATGGTTCGAGGAATTCCTTGGTCTGGGATGTTGTAGATGAAGAGATAAAAGATCTATACACATTCATGATAACAATCCTCAGACAAAGAGCAATTGCCGAATCAACAGTTGATCCAACGATCAATAAAGACGATAGAGCCAAGGAATTGAGTGATGCTTACGATTTCTTCATAGAGCAAGATGATTCCCATCTTATAAATGGTCATCATCTTGCTCAAAATGATGGCAAGTTTTGGTACATGAATGGCATAAAGCAACTAAAAGCAATAAGACCAATTGGAAAAAGGATGATGTCACTTTCGTGCAGTGAAGCAGATGTAGAACGTGTAATATCTGAATTGCGAAAGACAAGAAATTCAATGAACGAATCATGCAAAGAAGAATATGTAGCATGCCGCTTCTTCATCAAGTTGAATGATGATCAATTTGATATTTGATTTTGTTTTTTAATAAAATTTATTAAATAATTTGTTTTAAAAAGTATTATTTTTATTCGTAAAGATATTAGACAGAAGGTGGCCAGCCTAATGTCTATCAATCTTTAATATTAGTAGTAATTTCCCGCATTTCTGAATGATGATTGATTAGCTTTGTTGTTATTGATGTAAAACTGGATAAGTATTAAATAATTATATTAATCTTGGCCAGGGGACTGCTGATGGCCAGTCAGCAGCGGCCACTATGAATCATTATAATTATTTAATACCTAAATTGAGGTAAAAAGCAATAAGACTTGCCGAGCCTCATGCCCCTACCTCATATAAATAGAATCACACTTTAGTGAATCAACATCTATAAGAATGAAGTGTTTTGAAGCTGAAATAATATTGAATAGAAATTAATTTTTTCTGAAATTTTGAATGAAATTATGGGAAATAAAAAAATTACTAAATATTGTATTCATACAAATATATTATTTTAAAGGAAAAATAGATGCTGATAGAAACGATGAAAATTTTTGAAAACTTTACAATTAATTTATGTTCGTTAACCACAGAGCTTGCAATCCAAAGCTCACGTTAGACAACAAGAGTCATGAAGTCTCATACTAAGGGATATCCAACATATATTTTAATAATCTAATGTTTGTGACAAATATTCAACATAAAATTAAGTTTTCGTTTCGTTACAAGGCATTCATACTTTGGAGAAATATTTAATGTACAGAAAAGTTAATATTAAACAATACATGCTAAAGAATTAATAAATAAGATAATAAAATAAATTTATACGTAATTACTTTCATTTAATATGCTTTATGCTGTATAATATTGATTAAGAGGCATTAAAAGGTTCCATAGTCTGCTTTTATAGGCAAGATTTTTGATAAAAATTTTAAATTTTGAAAAATGATGAGAAAAGGAAAAAAAGGTAAATGAGAGCAAGAGGAGGGAAAAAAAGAAAAAGAAAAGAAAGGGAAGGGAAAAATAAAAGAAAGAAGGACATATAAAAATTTAGATGCGCATTCTTAATGCCGAGGCGGCTTGCCGCCGAGGCGCGATTTTTTTAGGCCTCTACGGTAACCCGGCAATGTTTTTTAAATCTTGTACAGCCCTAGATATATGTATGAAAAACTTGAAAGTGGTGAGTATGGATGTCAATTTGGAAGAAAAGTGAGAAAATTCCTAAAATGCTAAAAATGAATTTTCCAAACGTATTTTTTATCTCATTTTTTTGATTTTGAAAAAAATTTGGAGAGAAGATCTCTTCGTTTTTGAATTTTATCACGATGGTTTTAAAGTATATTAGACACATGTATTGGTATTACTATTTTTGTATATTTTGAGAGAAAATCCCTAAAAAGTGAGAAAATCTAAGACGGTTTGAGAAAATATATAAACTATTGAAAATTTGAATTAAACTTCTAATTTGGAAAAAAGAAATTTGGAAAGAAGAAAATTCAAAAATCGAGATTTAGACTCAGCATCAAATGGAGAACAAAATGTTTCTTCATATGAAGGAAAAAAATTTTCTTGTGAAGAAATAGAGTTTTTAAAATTTTATTGTATGTAATGAAATAAACAAATATTAAAATTATTTTTTGATAACAAGAAAATTCCCAATAGAAAATATTTGAGAGAAAGAAAAAAAGAAAATTGAAAAATATTACTCTCCTTTATATTTCATTCATGAGATTTTAAATTTATTCTCATAAAATTGACAATTTTATACGTTTAGATGAAAATAAGTGATTTTGGTTAAAATAGAAATTATTATTTGCTTACAGCTATCAAATAGATTTTTGCTATTTTGATTAAAATTTGTTAATCAAATTAATAAATTTTTTCTAAATATCTTAAATATCTGGATCACTCACATATACAATGAATTGAACGATAAAAATAATACAAACTCAACTAAGTTTCCTGTCTTTCAACTAAAAAAAATTATGCAAATTAAATTAAATTGTTTATTCAAATATAAAACAAAGATGAAGTAATTACAGTTATCATAAACTTTATGAATAACTCTGTAATTGGTTCAGATTTTCGTAAAAATATTTTTATTAATATCGATAAGAATACGTTTACCTACTATCACAACATATCGATAAACAAGAGTAGAGTGATTTTTATCATCGAAACTTTTTAAAAGCTGTAAGCTGGAAGGAAAAATCTTGTTTTTTCTGAGTTAGTTGTAGAGCTATTGATGCACGAGTTATCATTGTGATGCAGAAGGATATCAATGTACTCACTGAAGGATATGAATTGAATTGAATTTCATTGCATTTCAATTTGATCAAAATTTGTTGAAATGATATGAATGTGTCAACATCTGTATCACTCTCTTTCACTCCTTCCTTATTCTTTCGAGAACGAAGCTAGCTCTGCTTTCGCTGAGCGAATTGACACTTTTGATGCCCTAAACGTACATATTCTCAAATTTATCGAAAAAATTAATACCACCTAAACTAGTATATTCTTATTTTAAATATGATATTATCCTTAGAAATCACACTAGAATATATTTAAATCAACTTTTAAAAAAGTTCGAATCCTGCGCGTCTCACTTTTTAAATTTTCCAAAAGGAAAATTATATTCTCCTAAAATGAAAACAATTTTCCGAATTGACATCCTTATGGTGAGTTAACATACGCAACAGTTTTGAAAAAAGTTCCATATTCTTATCAAAATGTTACAATTTTCAAACAAATTTCAAGAAATACTCTCAAAAAAGCATTCAAAGAAATCTGTGGTACACCAAAAATTAAAAGTGGTCCTCCACAAGAGGAATTAACTCCAGAGTCTCATCACACTTTTCAATGCTCGATTTTTAAAAACTGTTTAAAAATGGAGCTTATATTGAAATAGTGTAGAGACTAAAAATTACCACAGACTATTTCAGAGGATTGAGTTGCCACTCAATCCTCTGAAAAGTCTGAGGTAATTTGCAAAATTAATTTTGAAGGTTCAGAATTCTTATGAAAATTACAAATGTGGGGTTCAAAAATTGTATTGGACTCTCAATATGAATCCAAAACAATTTCAAATCAGTTACAATGCAGTTATTAAGGCAGCAAAATTTCTGGGAATTTACAAAGAAAAAGATAAAAGTAATCCAAAAGCATATTATGTGGATTATGAAGCAATTCTTCCAAATCCAATCTGGCATGTGGATATTCATTTTTTGAAAGAACCAGAAACTTTACCGGTTTATGGAATAATTGATGACAAAAGTCGTTATTTGTTAGCATTGAAATTGCTTCGTAACAAAAGTTCAACAGAAACTTCAAAAGTGGCAATTGCAACAGTTCAAAAATATGGAGCACCTTTCTGTTTCTGGTCAGATAACGGAAAAGAAAATGAGGGAGAGTTCACAAAATTTTTGAGTACTTATGACATTCAAATCAGAAAATCAGCTCCATACATGCCACGTCAAAATGGCAAAATTGAACGCCTCTGGCCATCACTGAACAAGTTTTCTCGTTTTAAGGAGGGAATTGTTCCTTATGATGCATACATTATAAATATATACATCATAAGGAACAATTCCCTCTAGATAGCTGGGAAACCCTAAATTAACTATTAATCTTTGAGATATTTTTTTATTGAGGTCTCGTAAACGAAAAAGGGGATTTGACTCCGTCAAATCCCCGCTCGCAAAAAGTGGACTTTACATGTCAAATTTTATATGCATGTAATGTCCACTTTTATGAGTTTTAGGAAGGAATTGGAAGCCATGAGTTACTGACATTTCATCAGTATCTCATAGCCTCCAATTCCTTCTTAAAATGGGAGAAACTTTGTCCGAATAGTTTAACATTCGGACAAAGTTTCTCCCATTTTAAGAAGGAATTGGAGGGTAAGAGATATACCATATGAATGTATATCTCTTACCCTCCAATTCCTTCTAGAAAGTGTCCAAACTTTGGGTTAATTGCAAACTATTAACCCAAAGTTTGGACACTTTCAAGTGGAGATGGAAGGCTTTGGGGTATATATTAATACAATATACCTCAAAGCCTTCCATCTCCACTACAAATGGGAGAAACTTTGTCCGAATAGTTTAACATTCGGACAAAGTTTCTCCCATCTTTCAATGTAATTGCTACCTGTGAGGTACTGACTTGAAGTCAGTGCTTCACAGGTAGCAATATCCAAAAATTTAAAAACATTTTATCAGTTCGTTAAAGAACTAGAGCCTCCTAGGTACTGAACCAGAATCAGTGCCTAGGGGACTCTAGTGATCTATATAAATCTGAGAAACTTTGAGGAAATTGTTCGACATTTCCTCAAAGTTTCTCAGCAATTTAGCGAGGAATGTTCGTTATCGTGTAGATATTTATAATATATACATGATAACAAACATTCCCCGCTAAAAGATGTAAAATCTTATAAGAAATAATTGCAAAAGAATAACAAATTGCAACAAATTTTATATGAAACTGAACCTTATGAGGTAGTGATTCAAGATCACCGCCTCATAAGATTCAGTTTCAATCTCAAGTATCTCAAAAGTAAGGCTCTATTTTTGCCATGTAAAGTGTCACTTTACTGTCAAACCGTTTTTATCGTTTTCGTTTACAACAGAATCA